ATGAAGCTCTTAATCATCAACAGCACTATATACACCTTAAAAAACAAAACAAACAAACAATGATTATGAAACATTTATTACTTTCAAATCAAAGTGTTTTTTTCAACATGGCTCATATATCATTTGTTTCAGCAAAAGGAAGGACAAAGTAAATGGCTCTATAATTAAACACGAATAAACTTCACGGAATTGTACACTTGGTGTTTTGTGTCAGCAAAGAGGAAAGCATAAATAGGAAATGTAAGAACATGCATGTACTATATATGTATATTTCTAAGCGTTGGTAAAGCACAGTTTATCGTGCACAGCACAATTAAACAAAGATTTATCAAGTTCCTTCAGGTTGTTGTCTAACATACATTATTCATCTGTACGTTCTAGATGTCTGAAAAAAAGCAAATAAATACTAACGATATGAATGAATTCACATGATCTTCATGTAAAAATACTAGTGTTTGAAATAATGATTTTGAATATAACTGGCAATGATGCAATGTTATACGTTATATTATTTGTTATTATTTGTTAATAAGTATCAGATTATTGATTTTTAAAAAGAAGACAGGTACCTACAGTGGCATTGAGATGACATTTGCTATACTACTTGTCATTTTGGCCACAAATGATTAAAATATGGCCACAATTTATATTGAGTTTCAACTTATTGTTAGTATAAATGATGACTTGAGGCCGCAAGATAATAAATCGTGGCCACAGTTTAGTAAGTCAGGGCCACAATTTGATGTAGTTCATCAAAGTTGCTGTTTCAGCTATACACCTTAATGCATCAGTAATACACATTCGTTCTGTGATTCCCCTTGATTATGACATTTGTATGACCGATAGAGGAACGCTGCAATTTTTATCCTTATCTGACTGTCAGTGCGTGTGTATGCATGCCAACATTCGAAGGAATAAACCCTGCATTCGTTTTTTTTATGAAAACTAACTAAATATTTCTTTGTTACGGTGTCATGTAGTAACAGACTAAAGACATCTTTACTGACATGAACATTTTAGTCTCAAATGATAACTGTGAAGTTTTATTATTATTATTGGTATTGTTGTTGTTGATAATATTATCATTTATCATTTTATCAGTATAAATATTACATTTTTGCGCTAGATTTTCTAATGAAGGTGATAAGTAATTTAAATAAATAATGATTACATTGTCGGTAAATGGATTATTTTGTATAAACAGATAGTGTGTTCGCAATAATGATTATGTTTTTTGTAAATTATACAAACTGAGTGTTATTGTAAATAAATTTGAAAATAGTAAGTACTAGCTTATGTATTGGTATCAGTTATAAATAGACTTTTAATAAAATATTTTTATTTCCTTTTTGTTGTTCATTTACTACATAATTATGATCATTAAAACAATATGAAGTATGATGGAATAAATATGTTATAGAGTATGATGGAATAATTATGTTTAATAAACTAACGAATTGTCACAAAAACAAATATTTGTGTTATTTGATCCCCCTACATTTTGTCATTGAGCATATCATCTTTATTAAGACGAGGAAAATCATACATCGTGAAAACATTGTTTTCTACATAAATAACAACTATAAGAAACGATTATTCAAACGCATAAGAAATCTAGAGAGAAAAAAGTATCTTGTATATTCATTTTATTAAACAGTATTAGCCCGTTTGTGAACTTGTGAACAATAAAGTAAGAGACATATTTTTTCTATGTATATTCATCATATATCTCCGAACAATGATTACCAACATTATCCTTAGAAAATAAACCCATACAAAAAGATAGAGGAATATTATCCGCAAAACGGACAGGTTGAATGTGTTTCGTCTGAGGTTTAAAAGATAGGGGAATTATTCGATTTTGAGAAACTGCATTGTCTGTACAGTTGTTTTACTATAAGACTAATGGATACACCCACCGTTCCTTATTTATATTCAATAAGTAATTTTTAGTAAGTAATTGCATTTTATAGTCTAAGTTTCATGCTTACGCACGTTCACCGACTTTACAGCTATTACCCCTGGTCATCAGGCTACTGGTATCTATCTATCAATCTCCCTGGGGAGTCTTTTAACTCCGCTAAGTGCAGCCGACACTTTGGCGCAACGGAATTATACCACCCTCGCAGGTACCCATTTACACCTGGGTGAAGTGAAGCAATCGCAGGTAAATTTCTTGCTCAATGAAATTAGCAGTGCCCCTGGTGGGGTTCGAACCCGGGACCTCTCGATTCCTAAGCGCGCGTCCTACCACTGGACTACTGCTTCAATACATGTACAAATGTAAAAATATATTTTTTAATGCATTCAATGTATTTGTTCGTGTTTTATCAGTGATTTTTTCAGAGACTGTTTACATTATGTATCTGTTGGAATGTTTCCAAAACCGATTATTAAAATTATATACCATATGGAAATTTCTGACCATGTGGGGATCAAAGCATCCCTAGGGCTACCAGATCGACGCTATCCCATAGCTCACGCTTTTCTGAACTTCCTAAAAACTCTAACATCGGACACACCTTCAAGCTATTTTGAAGTTAAATATGATTATTACAATAATACATTTGAAGGGACTATTTTCTATTTAACTCAGAGCCTGAACTATTGAGCATGTAACGCAATATTAAATGTCGTCATACGAAGAACACAGAATTTGTAAATAACATAAATTATACATAATTGGACAAAATAAAATGTTAAACTTGTTATCGTTTATAAAGGTCAGAGAGATAAGTCATAAGACCCATGATATTTTGCCGCAAACAAAAGTAACAAAGAGTGAAATATTATAAAATACGACTTTGTTAGTCTGCATGCATTGCCATACAGAATTTCAGAATTTCTTAAAACAATCTAAGCAAAATAAAATCCATCAAATCTGACTATTGTTAACTGAAAAAGCGTCTATTATTCTTTATGCTGAATAGCATTCACGAATCCTTCATAAAAATTATTGAAAAATCTTGTCACTGCAAACATATATAGTCGGAATAACGAAACCACGATGATGAAAACTCGATATTATTTTGTGTTTTCACCATCGTATTTTCCACCTTTTCACGATCGTACTAACGGCTTTTAGTCATCTCGATGTATGTTCGACCTTCCACCATCGCGGATTCGCTATTTCGACTTTTCACCTTTGTAATTTGTGTTTTGTTGTTTCGAGGTATCGTAAATGACTGGTATTAATTACAATGTGTTTTTAGATAATTACTAAAAGAGATACCATACAATATTTTCCGAGGGATTTTACCATGGAAATAAATAATTAAATAATAAAAATAACAATAACTAAATCATAACGAAACACATATTTCACATTAGAAAGAATTTGTGTATACTCTGTAAATAACAAGTTTATTCACGAGAAAGTAATGACATCAAAAACAATGGCGTTCATAAGTGGATTCATTTCAAAATATAGTTCAATGAAATGTTGCTTTTGTTAGAAAAAAATTAAAAACGATTTAGTATGTGAATGAATGCCACATGTAAGATCTTCGAAAATATAGTTCAGTGTAGTCGATAATCATGCTTGTAGTTGAGTACAGGATATTCCCTAAGTAATAAACCTGTAAGGCTTTAATAATTAAAAAGTTAGATTCCCGTATTGGTTAGGCTTTTTCAATGATTAAGTTAGAAGAACTGTCAAAGTCATACAGTGCAAATGAATGTTGAAACATGACTAAATATATTGACACATCTCTAATAAAATAACTTAAATACTTTAGAATAGTTTTTAGCGTTGAAATGTTTGACACCAAAAATGATATTTTTGATAGTTGTTTAAAACTGTATAAAAAGAGTGAAAGATAAATAGGCACGTATAGATTAATTCATATCATAAATAGCCATGACAACGTTATTTTTCAAATCTTGTTAATTAGTTGTGAATCATTTACTTGTATATTTTTTATCCATTCATCCATAAAACATTATCTCCAAAAAGAAATAAGTACTTGAGACAACATTATTTACAGAGAGCAGCTTCCTAAATGTTGTGGCCAAGTAGCCGAGTGATTATCTTGTCGGAGTAGTAATCTAAGGATTGCTGGCCTCGCGTGTTCAAACCACGTTAAGGACAAGCCGTCGTTGCCTTGTGCAAAAAAACTTAACATTCATTGCTTAGTACCGGTTGCTTCAAGGAACGGAGTCCAGTGTATCAATAAGCTTATAGCTTCCAACATAATTCCAACTAAAATGAGTTCTAATAAACTGTTGTAAATTTCGTCTGATAGCATCATCACAAATAAACACAAATCTTTTTGCTTGGTTTGGATCTATATTTTGTTAATTATTTTTATTTAACATGGCGCTAGTTAGCATTACATTACGTCTAATTCTTTCATTTGTAGGATCCTGGACGAACTCATGAACTCAGGAACTATACACTCACGAGACCATTAATACGAATATATTATCTTAAGAAACTTAACGATTAATATATTCTGTAAAAGAAATGACGGAAGTTAAACTGCCACACATGCAACAATCGTCACGCAATTACTTTTTCATTGACTATATATTACATGACAACGGGAAGTAACATTTACTGAACTTATCATTTACGCTTGGCATAGTTTGTCTCTCTTAGATCATTATCTAGGAAGAGAGCTTCTAAATAATTCAATAGAAAGCGACCTCAGTTAAAATTGACTTTATTTTTGCATGATTAAAGAGAACTATGATTAAAACAAATTGATGAAAAAAATGGGATTTTTAAGTCATCAGCCCTTCAAATTGAGTTTCTACTCTTTCAGGTTATTTTAGGAGCAGTCAACCTGAATTTGAATAAAATTGCCATATTAAAATATCCGATAAAACATCATTGACAGTCTATAAAAGTCAAGCTGATACAATATATACAGTGTCACAGGAAATGCTATACATACATATATTTATGTAATATATCAGGAAATGCTATATATGTATGCGTATCTTGTAAAAAACAACAGCAACTACGAAACAATGTAACATACAATACAAAGTCTAAATTTTACTTACTAGTATGGTTTATTATTCTTTTTTTGCAATATATGGCATGTGTATACGAACTGGTTCAAGCACCGTACACGATTAACAATGAAATCTTGATAAAATATTTAAGATGAACTAGTTAGTGTAATTTCGGAATGTTCCTTTTTTATTTCTTAAAATAATTTGCGAAGAACTTCATTTAGTAGGAGTTGACAAGCATGCCAGAAAAGCCAGTGTGATATCTCGAAACAGCATAAGCCCCTGACACGTGACCTTCTCCAGTAACCCATACACGATCACCTACATCCAAGAAGGCAACTGTCGAAACGCCACCCATATTCCATCCAGTTGTATGGCCTGCTATAGCATATTCTATTCCAACACCATTCTTTCTCATGAAGAAAGCTCCTGCTTTTCCGCTTGGATTCCCGAGAACCATTGAAAATATGTATGTCCCTTTATAAGGGGCCGTGAAGTAGCCGCTTATATTATTATATGCGTTTCCTAGGTTGAGGTCAACTTGATCGAATTTTATAACTGTGCCTGAGGCAACAATACCAAGGTTCTTGCTCAGCTGGATTCGAAAAACAACCTTTGTATCCTCAATGCATCAAGACTGTCTGAAAAATGTTGATTAAAAGTTATTTTTCTTGTGATACAATAAGAATATGAATATACATTTCCGGCCATTTCTCTCATATTCTGATTTTTAAGGATAAGGTTCCTCCAAAACAATAGCAAGTAGATGTATACATAAATCGAAAACATGGATATCATGATTCGATGTGAAGCAAGTCAGTTCAATATTAGTGTCTTGATTTGATTGATGCTTTTCTTCTTAAAAGAAAAGATTTAACTTAGTATTGACAGCAAGAGACTCAGACCAGCGCATGCTATCCCTCTAAATAATCCGTATAAGTCATTATTTAAACATCTCATTGATCTAAACGCTCTTGCTAAATGTATATGAAAGTAAAAGTATTAGTTGTTAATTAAACATATTCTTGTTACAACTTCATTAGAAGTGCACCCGTTAACAAAGAAAATGAAATAAAATAAGTACCCGTGCTCAATGCGTCTTGCCGAGATTCAATTTTCTCCAGTCTTTTCTCTATAGTTTCAAGCTTCGATCCTAGTCTTGCTATTCTGTCTAATACATTTTCCATCGTATACACACATTGTGATTCCGCCTGTGAAGATGTTGTTGTCACCAACATCAAGACGACACAAGAATAAATTTTAATCTGCATGTTGTCAAAGTCTAAATACTATCAAAATATTAAACAGTAGTTGTCAGAATAATCGTACAGTTTCACTGTAGATATTTATTTTACAATGAGTTTATGTTTTCCTACAGCTATACACTGAAGTTTATCATATTTCAAAGTACTGTTTTATAGCTGTGCGGTGCGTATATTAAACAATATTATACCTCATTTGCATACGCCCTTCTATATTTAATATGACGTCATCCGGTCAATAAACCGCATACAGACCGGGGGCGGTCCATAATTCGTATATGGACTGGATGACGTCATACTAAATATAGAAGGGCGTATGCAAATGAGATCTAATATTTTATTTTGTTGTTAAATGATTCTTTTTACTGAATTTATTGTTTTGTTTCACATAAATTTTATTACATGTTGATCAAAAGTCATGATAATTTTATGTCTTTAAATTGATTATAAATTTTTAATTTTATTTATACAGTTTGTGAAAATCTTAAAGTTCGTTTTTTTTCTGTTTAATGTGATTAACAAAAATTGAATGACAAAAGAAGAGCATGATTTTTTTGCTGTATCGCTTGACAATAATAATAAAAAATTCGACTAGGGTTTGAGATATTTCACACACTGAACAAATAAATTATTATTTGACAGCAAATTATAGTAAAAATGACAGCAACAAAAAGGGTGAAAGGACTTAGATTCGGTATAATATAACAAATAAAACATGGCCTTTCGGGCAAAATGCAAGTTTACGGACTGGTTGGTCAGACCTCGGAAGGTATATGTCCCTCAGCTGCGCGTCGGGCCATATACCTTCCTCAGTCTGACCAATCAGTCCGTAAACTTGCATATTGCCCTCAAGGCCATGTTTTATTTGTTAACTATACATGTTAATGTCAAAATCATTTAAACAGAAATTATGCGAGTTTTGGGAGAGATTTTTAATCAGTTTAGGAGAGACACACAGATAGTGTATAGCGTTTATTTTTTTGTTGACAAGAGTACGTGTGGTTTTGAAGAAAGTTTTGTTGATTTGTTGAAGTTGGTTGAATTTAATTGTGGTGATCTTAATTGATCAGGGTTTATTGGTTGTAATTTGTTGATTGTTGAGTTCTCACTCACAAAATGAAATCATTCTGTGAATTAGCAAAGTAGGAAAAATTTTTTTAGGTAAGAAATGATACTCTCAGCAATTGACATTACGCCAGAGAAGAGAGTGCTCCGTCCACTGATTCACGTGACCCGGTCATTCAGAACCTTAGACAAAAGACGGTACCGACGTTTACGCGAAACTGTCATGCCACTTAAGTGACTAATGAATTAACCTTATATCATTTGGTACATATAAAATTTAATGCTTTTATTGAATAGTTCAATGTATTATGGTATTAAAAAAAGTAACAAATAACTGCATTCACGCATTAATGATGAATAAAACGTTTGGCAAAGTTCTTGTTATATTTCTTGCTGACATCAATGAAGATGTTACTGAGAAAATATCATTTTAGTTTACAAATTCAAAGATAGCTAAAATTGATGTAGTGGAACATATAAAAGTAAAATTATATCAATGAAACAGTAACATTGACAAATGTTTTTGAAGTTTTACGTGCGAAATCACATATATATAATGCATTTGCGCATAAATTGTCAAAATTAAATGAGAAAATTGCCCTTGCGTAACTTTGTTGTACATGTATATGTTTATTTGTACATTAGATATTTTCGTGATAAAACGCAATATTATTCACTTCAAAATAACTTTTCACATATACCATACCTCAACTTTGAATTAAAACCTTGATCAGATATGATGTTATTGAAGCAGATGTATTTGAATATTTAATCTTTAATCTTAATTCATTGAGCTTTAATAGAAATATTTAGGTAGGATAATTTCACCTGAAATATTTATTGCATATTTTTTCATTTTATTTGCAAGTATTTTTTTTCTACTGCAGCATTTTATTGACAATATGTTATAAACGAACAAAAATGTCGTATCATCTGGATATTCTGAGACCTTATAATATATTATGTGATTATGAATAGACATAATTGTAATGAAGGAAGGAATAGAGTATTTGTTTAAACTTTTTCCTTGTTTAATGCAATGTGGTATTGCCAGTTTTAACTTTCCTACCTGCTATATAACTTATTATCTTCATATATAGAAAGTTACTGATATTTTATTTTTTGTAAAAAATGAACTAACTGACTCCCTCTGTCAATATATGAGGATATTTTGTAACTTAGATATACCGTTTTAATAGCTTTAAATTGACAAAAAAAATCAAAATTTCAATATAAATACTGCTGCACCATTGTCTTATACACATAGCTTGTCTAAGGAAAATGGCGGACTTCTCAGACATCTTAGCATGAAACTGATAACGATCGCCGATTGGCTTATCTGTAAGACTCCTGCCAGCTTGATTGACAGGCGGCGTAATGTCAAAAAATAGATAAATATAGAATCCCTAAAGAAAGCCCAACACGGCAAAATTGAAAATGTTGCAGGCTCGGTTTGATTGAGCCTGTTCATGGACGGTACTGGAAAGTGCAAATTACCGTCCACGCCCCCTAGCACCGGCTTAAGCAGAATTCAACATTTAAACGTGAAATAGTAAAATTTTGAATTTAGAAACATCCGCAGATGTGTTCATACGGCGGTAATCATGGAACCTTCAATGTGACACTTCTGTGCCGTTCCATGAAAAGCGGCGTATGGTCCCCAAGTAATAAAAAGCGTGTGCCCTAAACGAGAAAACAATGGGCGGAACTAAATAAAATGGAATTTTGAAAGGGGATCAGAGGTTATGAAGCCTGCGTATCACAGATAAGACGTCAAAAGACAAATTTAAAAAGCAGGCAACATATCCTTAGGGTGATTCAACATTATTCAAGTAGGAATATTGGAACCACCCATATAGAAAATGCCGAAAAGTTGAAACTAAAAATACCACAAGCACAACAATAATGTCGTGCTGAACGATCTTCAAGGATCGAAAATATAACATCATTGATTAAATGTACGGGGAGACTTTTTACAGCCGCCACACGGCACAAATAACACGGATGTGATCATAAAATAGATAAATATAGAATCCCTAAAGAAAGCCCAACACGGCAAAATTGAAAATGTTGCAGGCTCGGTTTGATTGAGCCTGTTCATGGACGGTACTGGAAAGTGCAAATTACCGTCCACGCCCCCTAGCACCGGCTTAAGCAGAATTCAACATTTAAACGTGAAATAGTAAAATTTTGAATTTGAAGATGTATGTATTGTAGATTGTACCAAGAAGTTTAATATTTTACCAACATTCATAACATGATAACAAAGATCAATTTTATTAATTTTAATTGCAAGTAATAAAACTTTAAAAAAATATGGAAAAAGGGTGATCCCTTGGAAGAGATGAAGACAATAATATTATATGAGACTTGCATACTCGTTTTGATTTTACAAAAGCCAACGTAATAGTATGCTTCACATAAGCCAACGTATGCTTTACATAAGCCAACATGTGCTTAACAAAAACCAGTCCAAGCTTTACATAAGCCAACCTATGCTTTATATAAAGTAATATATACTTCTTATGTTATTTTGTTGTGATTAATGCTTCCGAGGGATCACTTTGTTTCCAGAATTTTGTACTTCACAACAGCAGGTGTCAAGTGCCGTGTGGCAGCCGTAAAAAGTTGCCCCGTACTTCACTTCAGTGTTGTTATATTTTCTGGTCCTTCGGGATCATTGATGCCAACACTATAAAGTGTTGAGAGATTGAGTACCGCTCAAGCCGGTGCTAGGGGGCTGTGAGGGATGTTGCAATTAATCATTATCCCTCATGTACAGACTCAATCAAACCCCGAGTCTGCAATTCTTATGTTATTTTGTTGTGTGATTAATGCTTCCGAGGGATCACTTTGTTTCCAGAATTTTGTACTTCACAACAGCAGGTGTCAAGTGCCGTGTGGCAGCCGTAAAAAGTTGCCCCGTACTTCACTTCAGTGTTGTTATATTTTTCTGGTCCTTCGGGATCATTGATGCCAACACTATAAAGTGTTGAGGATTGAGTTCCGCTCAAGCCGGTGCTAGGGGGCTTGAGGGATGTTGCACTTATTCATTATCCCTCATGTACAGACTCAATCAAACAGAGTCTGCAATTCTCTTAATAATTTTGTTGTGATGAATGCTTCCGAGGGATCACTTTATTTCCAGATTTTTATACTTCACAACAGCAGGTGTCAAGTGCTGTGTGGCAGCTGTAAAAAGTTGCCCCGTACTTCACTTCAGTGTTGTTATATTTTTCTGGTCCTTCGTGATCATTGATGCCAGCACTATTAAGTGTTGAGAATTGAGTACCACTCAAGACGGTGCTAGGGGGCGTGAGGGATGTTGCACTTATTCATTATCCCTCATGTACAGACTCAATCAAACCGAGTCTGCAATTCTCTTAATAATTTTGTTGTGATGAATGCTTCCGAGGGATCACTTTATTTCCAGATTTTTATACTTCACAACAGCAGGTGTCAAGTGCTGTGTGGCAGCTGTAAAAAGTTGAGGATTGAGTTCCGCTCAAGCCGGTGCTAGGGGGCTTGAGGGATGTTGCACTTATTCATTATCCCTCATGTACAGACTCAATCAAACAGAGTCTGCAATTCTCTTAATAATTTTGTTGTGATGAATGCTTCCGAGGGATCACTTTATTTCCAGATTTTTATACTTCACAACAGCAGGTGTCAAGTGCTGTGTGGCAGCTGTAAAAAGTTGCCCCGTACTTCACTTCAGTGTTGTTATATTTTTCTGGTCCTTCGTGATCATTGATGCCAGCACTATTAAGTGTTGAGAATTGAGTACCACTCAAGACGGTGCTAGGGGGCGTGAGGGATGTTGCACTTATTCATTATCCCTCATGTACAGACTCAATCAA